CATCTGTGGTTGATGAGTTATAGCCGTTCAAAGGTGACCAATCACACTTGCGTTTCTTTTGGTAGCCACTGTATATTTAATACAAGAAAATTTAAATCTAGAGTGAAATTTTTTATTTAAATCAATAAATATAAATATATAAATAAATTAATTTTTATTTTTATTATTTTATTTTTATTTTTTAATTTTTTGTTTTTATTTTTTTTATTTACTAATTTTATTATACAGGTGATATGACAAATGAAAATACTTATATAATATAATTTTCATATTTTCTAAAAGTATAATGTCCTATACTTCACTTCAAACAATTAATTTTATTATTATGATTTTTTTTATATTTATTTAAGATTAAAATAGAGTTAAAATATAGAAAAATTATTAGAAAATTAGATTCTGAAAATTTTTGACTAAAAATTAAAGGCTTATTATATTTAATCTAATAATATCAAAAATTAAAAATCAAAAATTTGTTAAAATTTTTAGAATCTGAATTTTTTTAGCAATTTTTATATTATTTTCTTAATTAATTAAAATATAGGTTACTTATTTTGATTTTATTTATTAAGATAGACACTATAATTAAAAAAAATGATGCAATTGAGTTGCAACTCAATTGAAATTTGAAAATAATTATAGGAACCATCTTTATTTTTATTATTCTATAGCTTCTTTAAAGTTAGTTTATTAAATTATTAGAAAAGGGTTTGTTATTCTTATAGAGAAGAAATATATCTAAATAGTAAAGTTATCAAAAATTAGAAATCATTTATCAATGACATTTTTAAATTTATTTATTAAATAGTAATTATAATGTAAATTTAATATTTAAATTATATAATTTAATTATTAATTTATTATTATATTTATTATATTTTATTTATATATAAATAAACTTATCATTTATTTAATATTAGAAATAGATGATATTAAAGATTATATAAATCTACTAAAAGTAATGATTATAAACAAGTCTGGTTGTATTTGTCTATCTTTTTTATTACAATTAAACTTTATATTTCAAAATTAGTTAATAAAGATAAAAGTTTACAATAATATAGAACTGGATTATAATTTAATTTAATTTAAAACTTAATTTAATAATATAAATATAATGTGAAATAATTAAACCTTTTGATTATATTATTAAAATTCTACAAGATTATTGAATACAATATAGTTGATTTAATTAAAGATTTTTATATGCAATCAATTTATTGATGAAATCACTTTTACTTTATATGCAAAATATGATTTTTTATGTTCAGATTTAACATTAACTCATTTTTTATTTTTTCCAGCCGTTTCCCATTTTCTATTGCAAAGGTTCTCATATAATTTATTGTTCTGTATCATGAAAACACTATCCGAATAACTGGAAAGAACAAATCTTCCGACTGCAGTTGCAACGCTACCATAAGAATCCAAAAAGGGATTTCGGGGCTAATTGATGGTAATTTTTAACGAAGGTGTGACATACTTCATGATTATAATCATAAGATCCTGATAAGTTATATTGCCCGTGTCGAACATTTAATATAATCAACGATGCATAAGATCTTTATTGATCAATATAATCAAAAAAAAAAAAAAAAAAAATAAGTATAAAAAATCCAATGAATTGACCCAACTAATGTAAAACGTTCACGATGCATATCGCCGATTTATTAACACTAGGTTTGAAAATCATACTCGTTTTATTAATCACGATACTTTCTGTGTGTCCTGGTATGGGAGATGATCCTATGAGAGGAGCGTCAGGCGTTATACCAGGAAAAGTTGGGGAAATTCCAAAAGGAATGCCAACAAGTGGAGGTGGCTTTGATCCATCTAGTTTTTTAGGTGGGGGTGATCCAAAATCTGGTGGAAAAATTCCAGGATTTGACTTGGGAAAGGCCTTAAATCCTCAAGGACAACCACTAAAAGTGCCAAAATCTCAAAAGGTTTCACAAAATAAAGCACCACCGCCAAAACTAGATCAAGTTGTAAAGGCTCCACCACAAGATGCTCCGGGAGGAGGTAATGAAGCTCCATCGTCAGGAAGTCAAAATGCGTTACTAAGTGATTGAAGTTCCTATAATTTTAATAGATTTTATCGTAATTTGGAATTCGCACTGAATCTCCCTATCAAATATATCATATTCTTATTATAGAAGAGCCACCACCAATTTCTGACGTTCGAAAGCTTCCATGGCAAGAAAAAGAGAAAGCGTGTATTTTGGTCAGGTGTGAATAAAAAAAAAAAGAATTGAAAAATTTTATCAATTCATTTCTAACAGAAATTTATATTAGCGGTCCTCCTAATAATACCTTAATTGCGCCGAAAAGTAAACAACGTATTTCATGGAATCAATCCCCTTGTCAAATGAGTGCAAGAGTTGTGGGAATGTTTCAAGTGATGTTGTACAACAGTTTAAAAGCTGTTTCCGATGCAAAGAAGAGTGACTTGACAAAAAGGGATTATTCACCAAACGGCAAGGTAAATACCATTTAGTATACAGATTTGAAAGTTTTTATTCACCACTTGACCGAATTGCACGTATTTTAGCTATCATATGACTGGGGACCGTATCCTATTGCAACCAATCTCACAAATACAACGAACAATTATGATTGGTAATTTTTGCTTTCTATTATTATCATGTATTATGATCATCACTATTTGTATAATGATTCTAAATTTAACAAACTTATTAATTTTTAAAGGATTATACCCAACCTTTATGATGACCGAATTACAAACGCGTCAGATTTCTACGTGCGCGTAGAAACAATTTCGCAATCTGGTATTTTCGGCTCCACGCCCCCTTTAGGCGGAACGTACGGGCCAATTGCAATTGTACTACAAGGAAATTCGGACGATGATGCGGATAATACATCTCGTGGACAACAGGTTAATCCGATGGTGTCATTACCTTCGGCTGTTAGATTTGTACAGATTCAATCATTGGTTGGACCAATTTTAATTGCGCTAGTACATCATTTTTGTCCGATTTAGCAAAAAGGATTTTTTTTACGTAAAATCAAGAGTGGAACGTGGCTGAAATTAATCATCAAATAATCGAATATTCCTGCAGCCTTGTTTGTGGCGTTACGTCTGTAAAACCGTGGCTTGTTCAACCTCGAACAAGGGTCACCGGATAGTAATGCAAGATGACATCATTCATTACCCGTTATTAGTTAGTAACTCCTTTTTCTCCTTTCGGTTCAAATTTTAGTAAGCGAGATCTCTTTTAGCATGCCCACGTTAAAGTATTAGACCATTTTAATGTTCATTGTTTTTTTCGATAGTTTGTTGATCCCTTTCAATAAAATTATTTGCGAATTTTTTAAAAAACAAGATCTACAAACAAGGACACAAATTTACTTCCATAGAGAACAGTTACATGTCGATCATTATAAGAAAAAACCCTTGTCAAAGTAACGACATGGCGTAAGCACATAAAAATTTTTTGTTTCCAAAGAAAAATCCCAATTTTATATAGTAATATGTGGAATATTCAACTAATTTATTTGTCATTATTCCTTGGGGAAAATCTATTGTTACATCCTTGAACTAAACCATTTAAGAAATTTCTAATTATTTAAGGATATCGGAACACTCCCAATCAACCGAAAAAGGAAATTGTGAAGTTTAATTTGGAAGGGATGAACAAATTTCGAAATGTTGTTTGAGTATTGAGTATTACAAAATTGGTGCAGCATAGAAAATTGATGATTTCATTTTGCTTTGACACGTTCAAAAAATGATCGGATAAATTATTTTTGTAATAAGAATGTGGCTTATATGTAGGAAAAAAAAAAGTATATCTACCTCAAGCCCTCCCATCAATTCGCCTCACATCGAAAAAAAGCGTTACGTTAAGTTTCTCACTACACAACCAAAAAAAAAAAAAAAAAAAAAAAAAAAAAAAAAAAAAAAAAAAAAAAAAAAAAAAAAAAAAAAAAAAAAAAAA